TTCCACACCTGCGTAGGATATCGCACCCATTCACAACACACATGGGAGATTTTTATGCCTCAGAAAAATCCCACCGACCTCGGCTGGGATTGAACCCAGACCCATTAGGGTGTTAGAAAGCAGTCACGCTTACCACTACACCACCGGCGCCGGGTAAGGTTAAACATTTCTTCCGAAAAACTATCGTTTGAACACTTTCTCAGTTGTAGCGGTTCTCGTTCAAACCGACCTGAACAAAAGAAAGAGGTTGTATCCAATTGGCGAATCAAAGCAAAGCCAACACTGGTCATGCGACACCTAGTTTTAAGATCCGCAACTACAAAAATGATGATGTACTAAAAAAATGTCATGCAATTTGACAGATATTGAAACGTCATTACCATTTTCACCCACTTGCCATCTGTGAGTCAAACGTCACTTTGATTCTTCAATACACAACCGTAGCTTTGACGTTAGATTACGTGCTCGGTATCAATATTTGGCGACTGTGTTAGAGAAACCACTTTTTTGCAGGTGACAATTTTGATCACCATTGCAACAGTTGGACATTTGTGTAATTTTCATTAGTAACCCATTGGAAATTGATTAAGTGTTGATTTTATCAGATTTTTAGAAAAATTTCCAATCGATTGGCTTGTTTAAAATCAAAATCCATCCGATATTGATAGAGTTACAAGTGATCAAAACCTGACCACTTTTCGTAACGCGGTCGATTTTGGTTATTTGACATTGCACCCCCCATATATGTTGCCGAAAGACGTAAATTTTTTTTTTTTTGTTTATTAATTTATTTGATAAGGCTCAACCGAATTAACTTTACAGAGCCGAGGATTCTTGGTCACTATACAATACATCTTAAAACTATAGTCAAAAGGTACAACACAATAAACACTTTATCTTCCGCTATCCAAAAAGTCTCCTCCATCAGAACTGGAGCCGCTTCCAATGGTTTCATTGTATGGCAAATTTTTGTACGCCAACGAGGGTCAGAGCGCGTCCATTGCAGCAATGGACGCAAAACGTGGTCAGCACTCACACACTCATCACGAAACGGTTGCTTTCCAAAGTCGACGACGCATCGACCGAAAGAGCTGCTGATGAAGAACAATGAGGAGGACCACACAATGGTTGCTGCCGAGAAAACAGACGATCGCGTAGCACACATCGAGAGTGGCCTGCTTTTGTCGACAGCCGAGTGAACACTCAAAAAGACGTAAATAGCAAGGGTACCTCTAATCATTTTTTAAAAACATCCATCCCAAGGGGGAATTAACTCTGTACACCCCAATCTGTGCCGATAGTTTTCGCTGTGCCGAAAGCTAGGCCAAACGTTGTGCCGAAGCGTGTCAATCAAGTATCCCATGAGTTTGGCAACTCTGAAGATTTAATGACTTTTGTGATTGTTTATTTGTGGTTGTGCAAGAAAACGAAGCGTGATAAAAATAAATTTATGTATGCAGCCTAAATCCGAGGGGGGCGACACATCTTAATCTCAATTCTAGATGCTCAAAAAATCTCACACTAGCGAATCAATCTTCGAAAAATCATCTTTCATTTCTCGCATCTACTTGCATCGTGCGTCCTCTTTTTGCAGGAAATCTTCAAAATCGACATAAATCTTCCTTCTATCAACTCAGCGTGCGTGCAGATAGCCACAGCAAAACACAATCTTTTCTGCATCGTAGATAGAGTCGTCCCCCTCGCCTAAAACCACTGCTGCAGCATGGAAATTTCACCAGAATAAGCAAACCAAACCAAATCTGTTCCAAGAAGACTGATTGTAGCCCTGGGTGAATGCCGGTTCCTTAGCCATACTCCGTCGGATGCATTCCGGCAAGCTGGATGTGGTTCTTCATCCGTCGCGTTGACTATGGAACAGTACAACAACGATAAAACTGCGAGGTGGAGGTGGAACTGTTCAATCGGCTGCAAGCGGAGGACGGCTACATGAAGATTTGCGGGGATGAAAAATAAATAAAGTTTATCGATTTTCTCGAGGTGAACAACTTTGAGCTGTCGAATGTGATTCTGATGTATGCCAAGGGGAAGGTTCGAAGGGGTTATGGATCGGGTTTAGGTTGTTGAAATGTATTCAGGTATACCTTGGTGTAACATAACTGTCACTTTTGTTTTCCATCGCTGGTTTCTAGCTAACAATCATTAAATCAAGCAATGTAATAACACCATCGAAGATATAAGGCAATCCTCCATCTATTATTCATGCCAATTTGAATAATTCAATTTCACTATTTAAAGAAAGCCTATCTAATATTTCGAATACTGCACAATAGGGTATCATCATATTTATTGAACGAATCCTGACTACCGGTGGCTATGAAGTTCGCTCATCCGAGCAGGATGATTTGTATGACGCTATGTATTTGGCCACCGTGCCTGTAGAATTGACCCATGTAAACCGTGATTACCGATATTGTCGCTACCGGAAACGACAAGCAACTGTTGCAATCACGTTGGTTGCAAAAGTGGATGACCCTGAGGGTGATCTAGTTATTGCTGTTGCTGGTTATGATCTCGGCACTGCTATTTATCACCACACTTTAACAACTCTTGCAGGGAATTAGACGAGATTGCAGAAGAGATCCGAGCAAAGTCATATAGATTTTATTTCTAATCCGGGATATGATCGTCTAGGTAGTCCAATGGGTTTATTAAATTCATTCTGAAGCGAGGATCAGCGACTGTCAACAAAGTGCGAAATTATTGCAACTATTGGAAAATCTTCGGCAACAACCAGTGATGCCGTTTTATAATATATTCTGTGTCATTCTTGTCAATTTCTACCCTAGCGTGCCAAGCAGTGTGCCGTGATGTGTTTCGGCACAGTGTGCAGAGTTAATTGCCCCTTGATCTGTCCCCATTTTTAATGCATGTGTTGGCGTTTACTCACCAACCATATTGGACAACTTTAGTTCAAGCAGTTTGATGATCTGGCCTATACTTAACCCGTTAAGGCCGGTTAAACGCTGCGGGAGCTAGTGGAAAAAAGTTTTGTCCCAAATTTACCACCCTCAGAGGTCAGTTATTGTAGCGCTTTGGTGTGTGCTTCACACTGAGACAGTGATTAATTTCAGTTAATTTCCTTTGACTTTGACTTTGTGGGTCCCTATCATATCATGCTTCTAGACTTTCATACAATTACAAACAAAATATCGACGTATGGGCTCAGCTCTGCAACCCTTGAGGCATTTTCCAGATTACTCAATTTGGATAAAATCTCAGCTATTCTCGAGAAATACCACGGTGTACCATAAACATTCTTTGTATATCTACATCCCAAATACCACGCATTTAGCCACGCTAAATTTGACATTCTTGTTTCTCAACACATTTTTTTTTCCTTGATTTGTTTTCCGTCGATCTTGTTTTCCATGCTGAGCACCAATGCTTCCGACGCCAGGGAGGCAGCTCCCACACCTGGACCTATCGACCCATCAACCTCATGAACCGGGAACCAACGGTGTGATTAGAGATGTTATGCCTCAGAACATCCCGGCGGCGCCGACTGGGATTGAACCCAGGCCTGCTTGGGTGAGAGGTAATCACGCTTACTACTACACCACCGGCACCGGTAAACTGAAATTGTTACATTACTATTTTCATTTCATGCTTTATTTGATTACAAGTAAAACCATTCCGTTTCGTTATTAGCTTGTAAAATATCCAGTTCTAGCGTTGCACTAAGAAAAGTTCTTGGACTTGCCAATGTAACTATGCCGCATTCAAACACATTCAGTGTGGAAACGTATCTTCCTTGCGAATTGATCTCACGGTTGTCTATCCGGAAAGACGCAACTACAATCCCTAATAAACATACATCATAAATTAATGGTAACCCCGATGGTAAAACTATCGCACAAATTGTTTGGATGATACCCCGAACACGTCGTAATGCTCTTTCTTATGGTTATTTTTATGAGGGATACTCGCAAGCTAGGTTCTGGTGGTAAGCTCTAACCGATACTATCCTTGGATTTATTCCCGATCAAGAATGTCGGCCTACTTCGACATTGGTGTTAATCCATACGATCATAATGAACCAATTTCGAAGACCCTCCAATCAGGGCTGATCCGAGTTGCAGTGAGTTAGCAGTATAACTGCCATTCTCTTTTTTTAAGCCCTCCAAAAAACATAACTTACAGTTACTGTGAGTTCTGTTTTCCAAGATTATTGGTATGATCCATTGATAAAGCCTTTGCAGTCTAACCCGAACAGGAGTAAACTCAATCATGTAAATGTGTTATAATCACTAATAAACTTTCTGCTTCCAATTCCCTTGAATTTGTTTTTAACTTAAGCCTAGCAAGCGCCAAGGTTTGTCAACAATTTCAGCTATTTATAGTTCTTAATAAACACCAAACAAACCGTTGTTTGGAAATGCTGTTAAAATCACACCCTTATGTCGCATAATGCGACGATCGGCACTAGGAGCTAATTGTTTATACTTGGCCCTAATCCACCTTAAAAAGTCTCAAATTCAGCACAAATCCATGACAAAACTATTTAAAACAATTGCAATTAGGTACCTGGAAAACGGCAGCCCTGATGGAAGCAAATACGCGATGAGCAGAGCTTCCGACCGCGACCCGATCGGCTTCCAATCCGGTCAAAGGAACGCAGCAAGGCATCAGGCACACGAAACAAATGAAAAACAACACCACCACCGGCTCGGTTCCTCCTGCGATGCCTCCACACAAAACTTCCATCAAATTTATTATAAAAATAAATTTAAGTTCTTTAATTCCAGAATTTTTAACAAATGTGCGCGTGAGGATTACCACGTGACTGAAGATAATTAATCGGGACGTTATCTGTGGTTGCCCTTCCAGCAACGAACGACGCGCGACAGGCAACGATTTTCTCTCAATTCGTTCGCCAATGAGAGAGAGTGTGGCAGAGAGCAGAGCGCTGGCAAAAAGGCACCACAAGGGTTCAACCGAATTGCCGTTCGTTCCATCAACACATTTCGTTTCGACAAACGTCCGTGAGAGCATGCAGAGAAGCAAGCAATCAAGAAGCACTACTTCATCACAGAGAGCAACAACGTGTGTGTGTGACAGAACCAAGTTTATTTGGCTACGTTCGGCTATCATCAGAAACAGCAGCAGCGGGAGCGCTAGAGCTAGCAGAAGAAGAGGAATAACAACAATACAAAGAGTTTGATTTATTCGAGGCCTCGTTCGTTCGGGAAGAGTGAAATCCAGTGGTGTAGTGTCCAAGGAGGTTACCCTTCGACCGGTTGGGTGGTGATTTTTGTTCCAAGTGGTGATTACTGAGTCAAGGTGTATTGGGGCAGGATTAGCTTGGTTTTCAAGTGCAGTCCCAGTGGATACAACCCTGGTGGGAGATTTTTTTTCGTTCGCTGGTGGTGGAAAAGCGCCGCTACCGGCCAACAGAGGTACTAATCCAGCGAGAAATGGCGACAACTGCAAAATCGAACCCAGTATCAGTGGTATTGATTAGAGTGAGCAATTTTCGGCCCGTGCTATAGACACATTGGTGCAAAATTTGTGTGTGTGTGAATTCGAGCGATTGAAAGTGGTTTTGGAAAAGAGTCAAAATGTCGGCAAAGAACGTTGAAAATGCGGAGGAAAAGAAATTTTCGCTCGCGAAGCAAAATGACGTCGGTCTTGTGCAGTGTACGGTCGCAGCGGAGACTGCTGCTGTTGGTGGTAATGAAATGGCAGCGCTCGCTGTGGCGCCCGAACGAACTAACGCTTCGGAATACCGAACGACGCTAGCGCCATTGGTTCCGATTTCGGTCACAGCAACGACGATGATGGTAGATGAGAACGATTCGGCAAGTGGGAATAAACTCGACATCGCTCTTGCTGTTTCTTCCACTGTCGGTGGTGGGTTGGTCATGTCCCCCGGCAGTGGAGGGGGAGAAAGAGCGGATGCTTCTCCTAGCGAGAAACAAGGTAGCGATGGCAGCGACAAAAACAACAGCAAACGTAAAACGCGACGCGGTAAGACCAAGCGCGGCAAACGGTCGTCCAGTTCGCGGCCCTACTCCAAGTCCCAATGGAAGTTCCATGTGCCCCTCCTACGGACGGCGGCCAACAAACGTCGTGCCAAGGTGTCGCTAGGATCCGCTGGAAGTGGTATCATCTCAACGAAGGATCCGTTCCTTCTGTCCGATCAACCACCGCTAGTGCCATACAACACCAATCGCTTCCTGATGGAAGACCACATGCCACAAGTCCTAACACCCTCAGGTAGAACCCGTGATTCAAGTTTTTCTATAGATTCAGAAGAAAATTATTTCTACTCACTACCAGAGGACGAAGAGGAATTCCTCACCAAGGAGTTCTCCAGCGTGTACGAAGACGCTCGTTCGGAACGGTTGGAAGGGCTCAGCAAGAGCCAGCTGCTACAGGAATACCTACAGCTGGAGGCCAACTATGAGCAAGTCACGCGGCGCTACAACGCCGTCAAATCGCTATCCATTAAGGAGGAAAACGAAAGTGCTGTGAATAATGCAACGACGACGACCAAAGATGCAACCGAGGGGGGTACGACGGTGCCGGCGCCGGTCGCGGCAGATCGAAGACGACTGGAAGATAGGATTCGGGAGCTCACCGCTGAGAATCTCGGTAAGTGAACGGAATCGTGTGCGGGGAATGGGGGGTCAAATGTACCGTAGCATCGAATTAACCGTACCATTCATTACTCATGGAATGCACGAATAACCTCCTGCCTTCTTACTATTTTGTTGAATGAATTTACAAAATCTTGAATTGTGTGTTTTCAAACAAAAATTAGAGCTACTTCGCCAAAAGTTATTAGGTCGAATGGGTCCTGAGGTTTTGGCCCAATCGGTAAGTTTTCACTTAAAAGTGATTTCGAAAAAAATCCTCTTATTTTGACTTGGTTTACACAATCGTTGCCATTGAGTTAATCAACGATGTTACCTTTTTTGCGTGCGAATGTTAAAACTAACAAAACAGTTTACACGTTATTGTTTTATTGAGTTACTATAATTCTTTTACCTGTTCAGTAACTAGAAAACATTATATAAGAGACTGTCCATCGGGGTGCCAATGATTTTTTTTAAACGGACCATATACAAAATGATCATTGCTTCGTCAAATCAAATGTACTTGGGATATTTTTCAGATGAAATTTGTTTAACCTAAAAACCGCTTTCCGGCACCTCTAAATTATGTCCGATTGAGCCCAAATTTTGCATGGTTTCTTTTTTCTCATACATATTGTTGTTTTTCTTTAAGGAACAGGGTTTGGCATTTTTTTTCGAACCGTGTAATACCGTCACTGTAGTTGGAAGGCGTATGATAACTATTAAATTTATTATATCTATCTTCTATATATAAACATGAATTTCTGTCTGTCTGTCTATCTGACCATTATAGACTCGGAAACTACTGAACCGATCGGCGTGAAAATTTGTATGCAGGGGTTTTTGAGGCCGGGAAAGGTTCTTATGATGGTTTGAGATCCCTACCCCCTTATGCAAGGGGGGGGGGGGGTCTCCCATACAAATGAAACAGAAATTTATGCATAACTCGAGAACTAATCAAGTAAATGGAACCAAATTTGGCATGTGGAGGTATAAGGAGATGGTAATGGGGGGTAGCCCCTTAGATAAGAGGGTGGATAGGATATATAGGATGCTTTTTTAAATCGGCGCATAAACTCAAGCTAATATTGAATCGCGAGCAAGACCGGGCACACTCAGCTAGTATTCAATAATAATAAAGGCCTGTTAAAATCTATACTTTGAATCACTAGATTCAAAGAAGTGAACATTCACACAACAATCAAAATTTTCCCTTCTTTATATCAAGGCTCGTTATTTAATCTCTTTACGATATCACTTTGATAAACCTATTAGATATTTGTTAATTCCGGCGGCATGGGATAGATTGCGTTACTTCGTGTCGTTCATCGACGACTGGACGCATTTTGCCGTAATTTACCCAATCAAGCGCAAATCAGAGGTGTTCCGTTGTTTCAGAGTGTATGAAGTTATGAAGTACCTTTTGAACCGTTGTCCTACGGTGGCATTGGCCGGGCATGTAACCCCGGCCGAGAAATGGATGAACGTGAAGCCAAAGATAAGGATTTTTTGGTGTAAAGCTATGGCATGAATCCCTAGCCAGCAGAGGAAAAAGTTGGACCCCAAGAGTCACGAGACGGTAATGATTGGATACCGGCTCTGGGACAGAGAAGCAAGACAAATAGTAATCGCAAGAGATGTGAAGCTCAATGAAGAATGTTTTCCATATGCAAAGCAAGTAGATGAAACTTCTCAAGTTCCCTTAGTGTTCTCCACACTGCACGAACCAAAGGGAGAGGCATCAAACAACCCTGTTGAAGATCTACCACGCGTTGAAAGTCCTGTTTATAAGTCCGATGATTAAGCTTCTTACGAGGAATTGGAAGTGGAAGTAAATCCTGGGGCGCTCCCTTCGCAACAAAGAAGTGACGACTGTCAAGAGTCAACCACTAGGCGCAGCGAACGGGAGCGCAGGCTCCCAGATTAATTGGTAGATTTTCTAACCGGATTTAGAGCAACCTCTGCTGTTGGAATTTCCACCATCATCCTACGAGGAGATCGAAGGACGTGACGATCGGAACCACTGGCAGGCAGCTGTCCATGATGAACTGGAATCGATGATAAGTAATCAGGTGTGGCGGCTGGTGAAGCGTCCGACAGTAGTGAAACCGTTGCAACCAAGGATGATGCTGACGGAAATATTGTAAGACAATCGATTATCACGAAACCTATGCACCAGTGCTCAAGCTGACAACAACGTTGCGTGACAAAGAGGACTAGTCACGACTAGGACGGCGTTCCTGCATGGCGAGCCACAAGAAAGAATCTACAAGGCCATACCTAGTGGTGTCAAAGCAAATCCTGGAACAGTTTGCCTGCTTCCAAAGTCGTTATATTGTCTCAAGCAGGCCCCCAAGTGCTTGAACGAGAAGTTGAATCACATATTGTTGACGCTTGGATTCAAGAGATCGCAGTATGACTATTGCTTGTATACCCAGATCGACGAGAGGGGGAACAATGATGTCTACCTTGTCATATACGCCGATGACCTGCTGATCATGGGAGAAATGCACTTATCGCAAGAAGCAAGCATTAAGAAGGTCTTGAAGAAATTCAGTATGAATCATTGCAACCCAACAAAAACGCCCACGGAGAAAGGACTACAGCTGAACCGTTGTGACAGTGAGGCAGGAATCATTGATGAACCATACCGTGAAGTTCTGGGCAGCCTAATGTATATTATGATGTCGAGAATATGTTTTTGGAATATACTCGTGGCAAGGATTAGTTGGATTTGCTGACGCAGACTGGGCAACGAACGGATACCATGGATCGAAAGTCGGTGAGTGGATTCTTATTCCAGGTTTATGGAAACACAGTCTCGTGGTCAAGCAAGAAACAAACGTAGCATTGAGCGCTGATGAGGCAGAATCAATTTGGCCATCTAGACTCTTGTGCGACCTAGGTGTAAAGATATCAAAACCTGTGACCATCTATGAAGACAACCATGGCTGTATAGGGATGGCCCAAAACAAACATCAAGCAACATTTTAATCGTGACCACATCGCAGCCGGACGTGTACCAGTGAGAGCTATTAGGACGTTGGAAGGGAGAAGGATGAAAAAGTAGACCTAATAAACGTTAGTTGTAGTTGTTACGGTTGTCTTTGCCTGTCTGCCCATTCGTCTAGTCCATATATTACAATAGTATCCTATCAATTAACAGCAACAGATTAGAACCCAAGGGGTAGGTCACTCCGCACACCAATATTGGGTCAACTTTTTTCTCGGTGTGCAGGTCATAGAGCAAGCTGTGATTGTAAAATACGAATATTATGATATATTTGGAAACCCGTTATTTCTGACAGCTTGAATGTTTTGGTTTGCAATCACAAGGATATCACCGGTCTAGCGTCAACCAAGGAGGAATGCTGGCGTGATGGACCGTGAGCGGTCTCAGCCGCACAACAGGACACACCAAAGACAAGGAGGAATACAATGTCGAAACACAAAAATAGCATCGAAAAATACTAGAAAGGAGCAACCGCCGTCTGACGTGTGAGACTCGGTATGAGAAGAAATCAAGCATAACTTTTCAAAAGGACGTATGTAACATTTGCAGGGCTGTTACAACAGGCGCGGATTTCGCGAATTTCGTGGATTTCGCGATTTTCGCGGATTTGAACTTTCAGTCGCGAAAATCGCGGAAACATTAAATGATGTCGCGAAAATCGCGAAGGGACTGATGTGCTGTCACATAAATTATGGAATTCATTGTAACCTTTCCGTCCCGGATTATAATTCCCTGAGCTCTGTCCAATGTGAGACATTTTCCTTTTTTCCAATATGAACATAGCAATTTTCGTTGTCAAATCATAAACGAATCGTATAAATGCGAGTAATTGCCATGTATACCGGATATTCTAGGTTCTCCAAATCGTCGTGGAATTCAGTTGATTTGTTCTACTAGATCAACCAAGACTCCAATAATGTCTGTAATATCGAAATATGTCCAAACAGATTCAAAATGTCTATGTCGATTGTAGTCGACCTATTGCTACGTATACAAGATGTTATAGGTTCTGAAATCATTCTGGAGATCAGATTATTTTTCTACTAGATCACCCAAGACTAATTCAATATCTGTAGTAATATGCCCTAACAAATTTGCAGTGTCTATGTGGATCATGCCAACCTATTTCCGTGTATGCCAAATGTTCTAGGATTTCCAAATCGATATTTCGATACTACAGATATTATCCTAGTCTTTGTTGATCTAGTAAAACAAATCATCTGAACTGCAGGAAGATTTGGAGAACCTTGTTCATCTGGTATACGTGGAAATAATTAAACATTATCCATATAGACACTATGAATCTGTTTGGACATATTTCGATACTACAGACTTTATCCCAGTCATGGTTGGTCCAGTAGAATAAATCATCTGAACTCCAGAACGATTTGAAGAACCTACAACATCTGGATTACTCGGAAATAGACGCATAGACGCTTTGTTTTTGATTGGATATTTTTCGTTACTACAGGCTACAGACATTATTGCAGTCTTGGTTGATCTAGTAGAACAAATCAACTGATGTCCTGGACGATTTGGAAAACCTATAATTTCCGGTAAAGGTACATAGTAATAAGTGGTACATGATCCACAAAGTTACATATATACGATTCGAACATGATTTGACACCGAAAAGTGCTAGGTTCGTATTAGAAATAAAAAAATATGAAAATGTATCACCATTGGACAGAATAATAACAACGCTTTACGACAATCGGTTGATGATATCCGAGCCGCTTTACATCCGGTTACGATGAAGTCTTTGTTTGAATCCTGCAAAAAACGCTGTGATATGTTTGTTTTTGTATTTCCAAGGAATATCCGTGCACAACCGCGACGTGACCAACAAGTGTGACTTATGAATCTCTGGTAATTTCTCGATTATGTGCAGGGTGTTTGGTTTGAATCGGAAAAAAAAATTGAGAAAACTAGAGCAAAATTAACTACATAGGATGGTACAGGCATAGAAAGCTCTCAATTAAAATATGAAAGTACTTCAAAGA